GTTTATTTTATTAATTCTTTGATTAGTTTCCAACCATTACTTCTTGTCCTGCCCTCTGGTGCTTTGGAGAATAATTTGACCCTCTCTTCTTTATCAAGTAATACTGCCCCTCAAATACTGGAATACTGCTATCATGTCATCTGGGTCCTTCTTTTCACTTGACTAAACACACCCAATTCCAGTGGGCTGAATCTGGCCTACGAGCCTTGAGTTTGACACCCCTGCTCTAGACAATGTACAGATGATAATAACATCAGAAAATGATGGAATATAATACAGTAATTTTGATATCAATTGCTACACAGATCCACAAGTGCTATTCAAAGACCTTCTGGAAAAGACAGTCTTCACCACCTTCTGGGATGCCCTAAGAGTGAAGGCCATCCTCTCTCAAGAAGGATTGGTTAGTCCATTGAAGAATATCTACTCAAAGATCATCAATGGAATCTCACCTCTCACCTCTCACACCTCCACATAGGCATAGACATTTTGCAGGCATTCTCTGGTCCTCTGAGTCAAGCAAGCAGAATTGATCCTGTAAAGCTTGTCTCAGATACCAAGTCTTATGACACAATTAATATTAATGAATGGGAAAGTGACCAACATCAACTTTGAAGTTCTCTCTGTCCATGTTTTTGGAAGGCACATAGGTTGAGAAGCGGGAATGGGAAAAAAACAACAACCTTGAAACGCAGCCTGATTATAAAATCTCTTTGTGAACAATCAGTTCAGAACTTCAGCCAAAATAGTCTATTTCTTTTCCAGCAGGGCATCAAAGAGGAAATCCAGATAGAAAGGCAGAGGACAGGGAAAGAGAGGGAAAAAGAAGAAAGAGAAGGAGTATCCAAAGGAGGGATGAGTCTGAGAGAAAGAAAGAGAAAAGACAATAGCAAAAATAAAACAGAAACATTTGCCATCCTAATTGGGGGCTTGATCCTATCCATTGGTCTTTTTCATATTTGGACCTCTCTGCATGCAAAATCAGACATATCATTCCCTAGAAAATGAAACCATTGGCACATTAAGACGCTTCTCGCCTTGCTGTAAAGAAAGGATTCCTGGAAGCTGTGAAAACAATGCGGTAACACAGGACAGGTTAATAGCAAGGCCAAGCCACTCAATTTGCTCAGCAGTGTGCAGGTATCTCACATTCACACCTGCTTCTGTTCACATTAAAAAGTCATCACTCTGCAGTTGGTTTTTAGATGCTTTCCTTAAAATAGAGTCACATAACAATTACAGGAAGTTCTTGACTTATAAAAGATTGCTTAGATTTCCCCCCAAAATACTTAAATGCAAAAATACAGGTGCCCCAGGCATGAGTGACATCAAGCTGGCCACCCACCCCCTGGCCCCCCCCCCCACCCCCCTGAGGTCAAACACAGCCCTGATGCGGCCCACAATGAAAGCAAGTTGACCACCCCTGTTATAGAGGTCCGTACAATGAAAGGACATTCAGTCCTTTATAGACTTTGGGCAACTCATAACAAGATACAAGAAAGAGCATCACATTCCCCTTATGAAGATTTCACTACAATTATCTTCTTTGAAATAAATGCATATAGGAAAATTTATTTCCTGAATGAGAACTGGAAAGACAAAAGTGATTTGTTTTCTACGTGACACTAATGAAGTACCTCAACCTTTAACACAGAGATTATTCATTTTCCTTCCCCCTTTTTACTGCATTAAAGTTGTGTGTGCTGGTCATTGTTTCTATATTGTGGTAAATTAATCATTACTCTGAGTAGCAATCACGAGTTAAAAAGTTACTTTTGTTTTCTTACTTTCCAAAGGCTGGAAATATGAAAAAAAAAAAAAAACAGGATGAAAAAGTTTGTGAATAAAAGGATTTGTAGGTGTGTATTTATGTACATATCATGCTATATTTCCTTTCAGGTTTTTGCAAGGAATAAATATAGTAAGCGGAAGAAATTCAAACAAGGGGATAAGAAAAAAGAAAAAGAAATCTAATTAAATGTAGTTAGTCTTACATTTTTCTCCTTTCATTCAGCACCCATTCATTCTTGAACCTGTCTCTATACATTACAACACACAATTCTCAAATAGTCCCATATCCTTGCATTAAACTTAGTTTAGGTTCCTTCTCATATATTCAACTATTATTTTTTTAATCTAAGAAAGTGTGCAGAAGTATACTTTTTTATATTTTTTTGATAAACACTTATTCCTGATAACATACTACAAACTGTCTACTAGCATTTGGGTGTCAATTTTTTGCATCTACTTCCTTATATTTAGTAAACATTTTACCAAAAGTTACATACCTACTTTTCCTAATGTGTTACCATGAAGGTGTAACTTGTAAATTATTTATTCTATTTTTCATCTGAAATATAATTATCTTATATATTACATTAATTTTCAGATTCATCTCTTTGTGGCATCATACAATCTAACTAGTATTCCCTGCATATTGCTTAGGATCACAGCCAATTAAACGGTATCAGTTACAAAAGAAACATACAACTTTCACATGCCCAACCACACATCTCTAGGGTCAGCTCAATTTATCCATAAAATATAAAAAAGACACGTCTTTTTAATATTCATAAATAAGGTTAGCATTAATATTTATGATTTGTGGATATACTATATTTTTTGGTCTATAAGATGCACTCCCCCCCCCCCAAGTGGGTGGAAATGTCTGTGCATCTTATAGAGCGAATGTTGCTGAAGCCCCACCCACTCACCAGTCCCCACCCTTTGGTCTCTTTCTCCCACCAATTTGCCTCCTTGCAGAAAACAGCAAACAGCCCGGTCAGCTTCAGCACAGCCTGATTAACATGAGCAGCTGGTTGGCAGTTGGATTGGCCTCCCGGAATACCACCCATCAGCTGTTGCAGGCTGTGGGAATTGTTTCCGCCCATCGCCAACATCGCCCATCGCTACCACTGCCTGTTGTAACCTTTGCATGCCCCATTTTTAGTCTCTGCGCATCCTGTTTTCAGCCACCATGTGCCTCTCTGCGTGTCCGGTTTTTGCCCTCTGAGAGTCCTGTTTTTGGCCTGTTCCAGGCGGCAGGGATTAGTGGTGATAGGCAGCAGTGGCAATCCCTGCCACCTGGAATGGGCCAAAAACAGGATGCGTGGAGACCAAAAATGGGACATGCGTAGGCAGCCTGGAACAGCCGATTGATGGTATTCTGGGAGACTGACCCAACTGCCAGTCAGGTGCTTGTGCTAAATTAGGCAGTGCTGAAGCTGACCAGGCTGTTTGCTGTTTTCTGTTTGCTGCAAGGAGGCAAATTGCTGGGAGGCAAAGGCAGATTCCCCCGCACCTTGTTTTCCTCCTCTAAAGCTAATGTGTGTCTTATAGTCCGGAGTGTCTTATAGTCCGAAAAATACGGTACATCAATATAATGATTCAGTGACATTGTGATCTCCAGGATTCATCAACTTAATAATTATCATATTAATGCAAATCATGATGTTTTGAAGCTCATCTTTCTCAGGAAGATGGATCAGCTTAGCTACCACATCAAACTAACAAAATCATCAAGCTTCAAAAGATTTTGTAGCACCATTGTTCAAGAATACCCAGATGTTTCTCTATGCATTGGCTTTTAACACCACCACCACCAGCAACAACAAAACCCAGGCCAATTTTTAAGCATCTCGCATCTAAAATTGGATCAGATGCCAACAACATGAAAGAATAATAAATGCTCTATGTGGCTCTTGCTGCCCCAGAAATTCAGTTGGCTTCCTGTTTACTAGTGAATGACCAATGACTGAGGGATGTGGCAATGAAGATTTTGCTGTTGACATTCTCTACTTATTGTTTTAATTCTCACTTTTTTTGTGTGAAACTTCCATGTTTTCCTGGTTGTGAAAAATGATAGATAACCAGTTGGATGACATATCCTTAACTGGTTGGATACATATGTATATTCAAAGGATATACTTGAAATATTAGATTTTTTACTGAATGCAATTCAGTGATATTGTCTATAGGAAGTTCTTGACTTATGGCCACAATTGTATTGACTGTTTCCTAGTATTATTTGATTGCTTATTGTACCCTATGATTATCATTTAATGTTGTACCTTATGATTCTTGTCCCTTGATGAATGTATCTTTTCTTTTATGTAGACTGAGAGCATTTGCACCAAGACAAATTCCTTGGGTGTCCAATCACACTTGGCCAATAAACTATAAAGTATAAATTGAGCCCACAATTTCCATTGCTAAGTGAGACAGTTGTTAAGTGAATTTTGTCCCATTTTACAACCTTTCTTGCTATACTTGCTAAGTGAATTACTGCAGTTGTTAAGTTAGTGGCATGGTTGCTAAATGAAGCTGCCTTCCTCATTGACTTTGCTTGTTAGAAGGTTGCAAAAGGTGATGATCTTATGATACTGCAATTGTCATAAAAGTGAGCTAGTTGCCATATTTTCAAATTTTGATCATGCGCCCATGGGGATCCTGCAATGGTTGTAAGTGTGAAAAACGGCGATGTCACTTTTTTTCACTGCTGTTGTAACTGTGAACAGTTACTAAATGAATGGCTGTAAGTCAAAGACTAAGTGTGCTTATCTGCTTTTAGGCCCAGGCGCATGGCCAGCAGACACTTCTGTAGGATAGTCAGTATACCAATGTGCCTTGTGAATGATCTGCACAGGTCTACATATACATAATGTGTGTGTGTGTGTGTGTGTGTGTGTGTGTGGTGTGTGTGTGTGTTTGTGTATATGTTTGTGTATGGCCATTAGACACTTCTGTAGGATAGTAGGATAGCAATGTGCCTTGTGAATGATCTGCATAGGATTAACACACACACACACACACACACACACACACACACACACACACACAAAGTTATAAAAGAGAAGTGAACCCCCTCTGAATTCATCAACCGTATAGAAAAAGATATACGTCTTAAAAACACTCCTATGTATTTCATCAGCAAATACAATCCTTTAACTCTATAAAAGTCTGACCTCCTCCTGAAACCCAAGCACCATGATTTAGAGTACCTTCTTGATTGTATCCAGCATAGATCTCCCTCCTTGCCAGGGTTTTGAATTCTTCCTAATGCATGTCAAGCTAGCCATACTGTGCCACTTTCGGTCTTCCAGCTTCTTATGAAAAGCATTTGCTAGCAACAACACGGTATCGTATATGTAAAGGTTGGTAATCTGTCAAAGAGATTAAGAATTGATTATAAGTAACTAGAACCCACGTGCTGGCAGAATTCAGAGGTAGTTTGTCTCAGCTGTCACCACTCAAGCTTTCAGGAACTTAAATATAATGCCACCACAATAGATTGCTTCACATTTTACAAACCACTTGGGCCCTGAAGCTGTTACATGATTACTAGTTAATTCAGTTTGCATTTCATAAGTCGAGGCATGTTCCTGGCTGCTACTTGAAATGTTACAATTTTTCTATCCCAAGGGTTATTTCAATGCATGTCAAGGCTTTTATAGTGTCTTGATAAGGTCTTGTGTCTGTACACTCATGAAAGAACAACAGCACATGGCTTGTTCTCCAGATAGAAGTCCTAACTGCACCAAGACATCCTTCTGATTTCCAAAATACAGTTAAGGAGTATGGAAGAAAAACTTCTACACCTCATCATCTGTGAGTTTCATGTTTCAGATTAATATTCCTGACAGATACAATATTTCAAAGAAGCCTTCTCCAAAGGAATTCTGACATGCATATTTACAGAGACAAACAGAGAATGTTGGTTATTCCTATCATGCAATTCCAATGAACAGGTATTGCATGAAGATTTTATTTATTTATTTACAAAATTGAAGTGGCTTCCTATTTTTTCCAGTTCTGAGCTAGATTTGGGCATTCTACATTTTACTGTTCCAGATGAATTATTCTTAGTTAAGGAGCTACCAAGAAACTGCCAGATAGTTTGGAAGGAGTGGTCAAGCAAGCACTTAGCTTGGAATCCTTGTGCAGCTGTAAGTAGCCTAAGCTTCGCCTTCCTCAAGATCCATGAAGCTTTAGTTGTTCATTCTCAAGGGAAGGAAAGCAATTTGGGCATTTTTTGTAACATAGGTGGTAGACAATAAAGTTATTAACAGTTGTTACTCATGGGTATCTCTGGTTGATTGTGCCTGACAACTTGTTGAATCAAATACACTTCTTAGCAGAGTCATGGATAAATGCTTTCCGTATTGACATTTTGGCCAGGTACACAGAATCCATTTCAGACCAGTAAATAAGTATCAAATTAGTTTTTTGCTTGTTTGTCTGTTTTGGTTTTTTTTTAAAAAAAAATCATCATTGTACATTGGGGTAAAATTCATGTTCACATTTTTTGTGTGCTTGAAGGCAATCATTCAGAATGAGAGGCATGGAAGTTGTCTAAATCTGTATAGATCTCTGTAAATGAATGAGCTTCTCAGCCATTTTAATATTTGATTCATTTTAATATTTCAGCATAGTTTTCTTTTTTTAAAAAATCACGCCTTTATATAAGCAATGATAAAGGATATTGTAGGCATTTAGGATTTACAATTTGGTCCATTAAAGAAACTTCTAGACTGTGATTATCAAACCATAAACAACAGTTTAAATACATATAGCCCTATAATTAACTTTCTTTCTATAAATAATCACTTTGTTTTAGAGAAGGAAAGAAAAGAACATGATTATGAGAGAGGAAGAGAAAAGGGAATGAAAGAGGAAGATCTACTTGGAGCAGCATATAGTTTTTATCAACATCTACCTAAAAGGATAGAATAGGAACAAAAGTTTTTGATAGGAAAAACCCAAAAAGGAAAAGAAAAGAAAAGAAAAGAAAAATCTTCCTTCTAGCTTTTAGAGAGTAGGCAAGCAAAAGTCTTTGGGCTACCCAGTGCTTATCATCATCATCCTAATTTATACATAGACTTTGTAGAACTAATCTTTTTTAAAAAATGAAGCATTTTGTCTTTTGCATTAAGCAAGCAAAGTTATTAAGATCATTGGCAACTTCTCCCAATAAAATGATTAAAAAAGCAATTCCTTAGTTTAGAGGAATACTGGGACATCCTCACAGTTCATGTTGATTCATATGTTGGGGCTAATGAATGAAGGGCATGAACAAGGTCTTTCGCAGCATTTTACTATGAGCAAATTACTTATCTTCAACTTCTTAAAACTGCCATATATTTTGCAACTCTTGCACGGCTGTCTCATCTTTGAAGATCAAAACATCAGTTTTTGAAGCAGCCAAATAAGCTTTGCAAAGGAGGTGGCTGCTTTTATGATTCATGTAGAAGTGTTTGTTCATGCTAATGGTCATTGTGAAAAACTTTTTTAGTGCTCTGCACAACTTTATCAAACAGCTGTTCATTTAAAATCATTCTTATACAAGTAGTCCTCAACTTACGACCAGTTGAGACAATGAAGATGCTTATAAGGAAGAGGTGAAGGCTCTTGTGGACTGGTGCAATAAAAGTAACCTGGATTTTAGAAAAAGCCAGCATAGTCATGCTCCACTCAGTATCAAGGATGCAGCTATAGAGGTGGCCAATAATATTAAGTATCTGGGTGTGCAGATAACTAACAATCTGAACTGGTCTTTCCACATGTCATCCTTAGTGAAGCGTGCAAACCAGCACCTGCATTTCCTGCATTGGATGAAGAGAGCACATCTTTCTCCTTCTGTCCTAGACACTTTCTACAGAGGCACAGTTGAGAGAGTTTTAATAAACTGCATCACTGTTTGGTTTGGTGGCAACAGCACCTCAGATAGAAAGTCCCCACAGAGAGTGGTAAACACAACCAAGAAGATTATAGGTCACTTCCCGTTATTCAGAATACTGCTTATAAGTGCCATGTGCTTAGAACTCAAAGCATTGTTGGAGACTCCACACCCACCCACTTTATGGTCTGTTTCTGTTTCTGTTTTCTGGGATGGAAGTTTCGAAGTATTTCTAGCAGGACTACTAGATTCTGTACCAGCTTTGTTCCACTATGACCTCCTGTCTGGTAACCTCGCAAGATTCATTTTTTCTCGCCATGTACATATATACATCTGAACTAGACTGTTATTTCTCTGTGTCATATAATATACGTGGATATATGCATAATTATGTATGTATGCATTCATTTATTAATGTCATGGTTATGGTATTGCATATTGCCAGTGGTGACCCTTTGAGAGCTGCATGCAATGAAATTTCTTTTTAATGTATGCAGATTAGTGTGCATTCAAAGTGGCAATAGTTATTCCAAGTCAAAGTCTAAATAATTTAATAATAATTTGATACTATGATGTACTCCAAAAAACCTACTTGTGACCCACTTTCAAAGTTGTGATAGCTGTTCCACACATGCACACATGCCCACCCCTCCTTGTGATCATGTGATCATATTTTGGAAGCTTGGCAACCCACAGTCCCATGACTGTAATTCATGATTTTTTTTTCCTGGTTTCTGTCATTTACTTCCAGATTCCAGCAAATAAATGCCTATTTACTTGCTTAATGACAGCAGTGCTTACTTAATGACCATTGCTTTTGCTAATGACTGCTGCAAAATATGTGGAAACATTGAATCTGGTTATGTGGTGCCTCAAATTAGGAGCACAGTTACAGTCCTCAGTTGAGCACTACCTATCTTTCTTCATTCAACATAAAAAATTGTTAGAGCCAAGAAATAGATATTTTAAGTCTGTATGTATATTGTAGATAAGCACTTGGCATCATTGTCAATCACCAGGAATTCATGTATGCTAATTTATTTTACATTAATTTTTATATCTCAATTTTTTCCATTTGGCTTTAGAATACTGTATTAATCACAGTAACCTCAAAGCATATTATATTTGGGGAATTGGAATTCTGCTTCCTATATTTATTGTGGTTGTATGTAATCAAAAGTGGTTGGTTAATGTCCTTTATAATTCAGGAAAAAGCAATTGATTTAATATGCATTTTTTTCAGAGGTTTCAGAATAGAAGAAAGAGGATAATGGAATGGAATGGGAATAGCCAATGAACTGATCACTTTTTATATTTGCTTTTTCAAACATTCAAGAGACAAATGGGGGAAAAAACCATCTATAGAATTATTCTTTTTTAGTGTGGGAATTAGCCATGATTAAAGATAGGACTGATGACAATTTCCTTTGGCTATATTTGATTACATTGCTTGGGTTTCTGAAACTACTTTTAGCCAGTGAGCTGAACATGGTTTGTCATAGGTCATCTATATTGACCACATTACAGAGATAGTTTTTCAATATATATACTATCATACTGTAGTTATAACTACTAAACATACAGAATTTAGAAGCAGACAAGGTCTAGCGAATGCACAACAGAAAAGAGAAATGAAATGGATACTTAAGATTGAGTAGTTAGGGCAAAAGAGAGATGAAAAGGTGTATTTTTGAAACCTAGTTAGGAATTTTGATACCCCTATCTCTGCAAGAAACTTTTACCATCCTTTGATTTGAGGCAGTGCAGCTGGAAAAGATTGAAATAATGGCTCATACTGTTTGCCAAAACTTTTTGCCAATATGTCAGAAGAACATGTTATGTATCATATACAATGCCATCTATTATATTTTGCATTCAACAAATCTCCATTTGGGAATTCTTGGCAGGACTGCTCAACTATAATGACCTGAACGTTCTTGATTACCATATAAAGCAAAATATTTAGAATACAAGTGTATCGTTTAGACAAAAGTTATACAACAACTATAGATGTTGAGTTTCATAGATCTACTTAAGCTTATGAAATAATGAATAAAAAATAAAATATTTTAAATAGTGTAGTAAAAACATCTAACACCTTAAAATATCCTTGTTATGATTACAAAAATCTATAAATTCACAAAAGTTAATGGCCAACTATTCACTGATAGTCTTAACCTAAGTGTTAACCCATTTTGCAGGAAAAAAAAGTTTGAGATCGCCTGAAATAAGTGGAATGGTATGCAAAGCTCTTTTTTGGTGGGAAAAAGAAAGCAAAATGTTTTTAAAAAATATATGAGTTCAGAGTTTCCTTTGTTTTATTTTGGAATTTTTACCTTGAGATGACTTATCATTTTGAACAAATCTCTATACATTAATTCCCCTTGTAGTCTGGCATCATTAATGTAATATTATATGAGTAGAGATTTCAGCTGAATGGCACTCAGGATGAGAAATCTGATTTTAATTGAAAAGTCTGGCCCTTTTGAGCAGGTTTTCTGATAAAGGATATTTGCAAAACAAATGAAAGCATATATTGATCTTCAGAAAGCTGTGAGCATATGTGATTTCCTTATGGACTGTGCAAGGGAGTGTATGTGTGTGTTTATGTATGCATTTGTATCAGGTGGGATTCAACCAGTGTTACTACTGGTTCGATGACTACATTTTGTGCATGTGTAAAAACCCTTAAGCTGTGCCTCCTGGACAGCTGAAAAGCACTGAGTGCAAATGCACAGCATTTGAAAAGCCACCTTTTTCCTGCTTTTTCAGGAAAAAGCTGTGCCGCGCAAAGCAGCTGAGGTTGAAAAAGCAGGAAATAAAGGACAGGAAAGAGCCTGGGTGGGCAGGTGGGTCAAACAGCAGCAAACACAGAACTGGTTCTGTGTGTCTGTTGCTCTTCAGAACTACCAGTTCTATACAGCCGGGCAGAACCGGTAGCATCCTACCCCTGATTTGTATGTTTGAGTTTATGAACGTCTACTTAAGTGCATTAGATGGGTACAAATTTCATTATAAAAAGCTTTTCTCATCCACCTAAGTAATGATTATAGCATAGGATCAGAAGATACCTCCATATTTTGAGAGAAAGGGTCTTTTGGGTCACAAAGTGATGAAGATATTCGGTGGTTCCCACGGAAACAGCGCTGACTGATGTTCTGTGGTACAGGAAAGCTCTGCCGAATAATTGTTAATCTTCCAATTGACTTTCTCACCAGATCCTGTACGTCTCCATCATTGATTTCCTGTAAGATAAAGCACAGAATATTTGGAAAACTAAAAATACCTCCTGTAAGGTATAAGATATGGGACACATGTAGGCACACTTAGTATAAATAAGCTGAAATATCTATCCTTATCCAAAAAGCTTGTGCTGTACAATTTTAAAACTTGAAGCAGGGGTGTCAAACTCGGTTTCATTGAAGGCTGCATCGGGGTTGTGTTTGACCTCAGGGGGCTGGGGGGAACGTGGCCAAGGTGGGCATAGCCAGCTCAACGTCACTCATCAAGGCTCCATTTTCAGCTGCAATGGCCACCTGCAGCCCTCTGCCAGTAAAAACAGAGCCTAGGCGGGCTGTGTGCAGCCTCCCTGAGCTCCATTTTTGCTGGCAGAGGATTGCAGGAGGCTGGCACTGTGGGCCAGTCCTTCGTTGTTTCCAGGGCGGGCCCGCAGGCCAGATCTAAGCACCCCATGGGCCAGATCTGACCCATAGGTCTTGAGTTTGACACCCTTGACTTAAAGCTTAATGGAAACTATAGCCAAGGAGAACCCAAAGAAAATTCACTTTATAGATTTTTTTTTTTCATATACATGAAGGCAAAGAAGCAAAATAAGTAGGAGAGATATTGTACACACTGAAAGCAGAGATACCTAGAGAGAAAGGATAAGATGATAAACAAGACAATTGTCTTCTGTGACAGAGAATACAGGACAAAGTAATGTCAGAGCATTTCCATCTCCCAGGGCAATATATGGCCGATCTCAAAGTGACTGTTTGGGGGAAAAAACAGGACTTCAAAGACAGCATTGAAGAAGAAATAGCTGAATAGCAAAAAGGTTTCTGGCAATCACAGAAGGTTTCAACAACTACAGTAATTTTGAATACTTTACAATTGTTAATTGATAAGATAATTGTAAGCTATTTTATATTGTATGTAATCTGCATTTTTTTTTAAAAAAAACCCTATCTTACTCTCTTTTTCCACCTCAACCCAATTTAAATCCCACATCAGAAAAAGGTGATGAGCCTTCTTCCTTAGGTTATTGGCAAAAAAAAAAAATACTTTGGTTTATCACATTTTAAAAAAGAAACAAGAAAAAAGCATAGGAAAAATTAGAAAGTTTTTTTTTAAAAAATCATGGATTTGTCTTGTAATATAACTGAAGTGTACTAACCCACATAGACAAAAATGCTTGAGGTGATCTAACACGGATAAGTGTGGTTTGGAAATGGAACAAAAACTGTTTTAAGTTCACTTTGATGTTGCACTTAGGATTAAAACAGGATGGTGTTATCACTTTTTGTCCAACCAAGATGGTTGTCAGGGCAACTGGGCAAATGGATAAGCCCTGATTTAATGAAGAAGATTATATGTGTTTACTGACTTGAGTTATAATAAAAATAATAAAGGTGAGATATAAATAAGTTCTTGATAAGAAATAAGAAATTATTCAAAAAGCTGACTTTAAGGTACTAGTAAGAATCCTCCCTCTTAAACTATAGAAAAACTAAACTACTGCGTTGATCAGATGAAGTCTTGAGTATTTTGTTTAGTTTTGGGTTTTAAGAAGGATTTTTCAAGAAGGACTCGGAAAAACATAAGCAGATTCAGAAAGGCAGTGAAGATGATCAGGGACAAATTAAGTATTATGAAGAGAAATTTAAGTAATTGGGCATGCTTAGCCTTGAAAAGCAAAGACTGAAGAGAAATGTGATGCTGCCTTTCAATTACTGAAAAGATATCATGCAAAAGGTATGAGGTCTTTTCATGACTAGGACATGTATAATAGATTTGAGTTGCAGAAAAGCAGATTCTAACTGAATGTTAGGGGAAAAAAGAAAACCTTCTTACCAGTTACAGTAGCTAAATCATGGAATTAGCTACCTAGTAAGGTTATTATTATTATTGTGGCTAAAATACTGAGCTTGTCAATCAGAAAGGCCGGCAGTTTGGCAGTTTGAATCCCTAGTACCATGTAATGGAGTCAGTTGCCATTACTTGTCCCAGCTTCTCCCAACCTAGCAGTTTGAAAGCATGTTAAAATGCAAATAGAAAAATAGGGACCACTTTGGTGGGAAGGTAACAGTGTTCTGTGCACCTTTGGCATTTAGACCATGGAGACATCTTCAGACAGCGCTGACTCTTGAGCTTTGTAACAAAGATGAGTACTACCCCAAGAACCGGAAACGACTAGCACAAATGTGCAAGGGGAACCTTTACCTTTATCTAGCATTGTTACAATAGTCAGGAAACCACAATGCAAGTGCAAAACATAGTTTGGATTGCCAAGTTAACAGTCCTGTTGTAGGACATGCTTGCACACTTCCCAAGGTGCACCGCAGGAAGTCAAGCTAGCTTTACACCAGAGGGAAAGACAAGGGTTCTTCCTCCAGGGTCACCCAAGGCCACATCATTTCCTGGAGCTGCCTCACAAATGGGCACTGCAACTCGGACAGTTCAGAGCCATCAGGAATCTGACTGCCTACACACAGCACCAACTGCTCCCTGCTGAAGCGGTACCTATTTATCTACTTGCATAGAATATGCTTTCAAACTGCTAGATGGACAGAAGCTGAGGCAAGTGACAGGAACTCATCCTGCTATGCAGTGCTAAGACTTGAACCGCCAGAGCAGAGACCATCTCCAGCATCCTTAAGCTACTTAAGCTATGGCTACTAATCCATACCTTAGTGAGTAATGGACTGCTTTTTACAGAACATTTTTACAGAACATTACCAGTCAAACCTGTTCCTTTACTGTAGTCTTTTATTTCCTTCTTGATATTTTAAAATAAATAAAATAAATAAAAAGTGTTTAAATCCCACCCAACTAATATTTTTAATTTGGATTCTGAACAAATCCAGGATTTAATCAGAAAATTCAAATTAGTTATATATTTTTTATTTTGGCAGGGAAGAACATGATTAAGTCTCGTATTAATTCATGGCAAGCTTTATCCACATCAATGAAGCTGAAGGTCCATCTTTTATTAAAAAAATAATGCAAATAATCATATGTAAGAAAATAAGAAAAAGAGTGGTAGTAATTCAAAGTTACTTTTGCCATTTTCTTAGCTGATTATATAAATATAATTTATAAAAAAATTGATATGGATTAAAGTACAAATAATTATTAATGTTGCTACTTAAATATCACTATATTTAAATGTCCCACAACTAGGTCAGATATAATACTATTTTTTTAATTTCTTTAATGGTCCAGCAAATAAATGTGAAGAGCCATGAATTTTAAACATCAATCATCTTGACTACATTAAGCCTATTTTATTCTTCTTCATAGACTGTCATAGACTTCTGAAGCCATCTGTTATTTTTGTTCTTTATGAAATATAGATTTTTCGGGAAACAAAATAACACCTGGCATCAGCTGTGTCCAGTGTAATATCCTGAATTTCTGGTCGATTAATCCTTAATGTACCATAGATAATGGTTTCTCTCAGCTTACAAAGCCGTCTTATCGTTTAGTCTGTATCATTTCAAATAGCCACAAGATGGAGAGCAAAATTACCAGTTTTTACAAAATATAAACCATTTTTATGTAGCAGCAATATAATTAGAGATGAAATTTTCAGAGAATTTATTAGTCATTTTACAAACCAATGCAACTGAAAAGAAAGTGATTAAAAAGTATATATAACATTAAGAAGCAGATATTCACTTGGCTATGAATGGAAAATCAAATTTTTAAGAAAGTCAGATAAATGAAGGTGAATAGAGCGGGCCCAGGATAATGTTTCATGATCCAATCTTGGTCAGTCATTGGGACCAGAGGTTTGTATCCCAAGCTTTTGGACTAATCCTGAATTTAGCATTTTTCATTGGTGTAAAGCTTCAAGGATGGATAGATGAATACATATTTATTTATTCATGAATCAATTAAATAATACATTAGTCCTGAGACTCCTAAACTGGGAGAATAGCTTCAACAGATTCTAGGAAAAACTTCAGAGCTGTCTGTTTAGAAGAATGCAGTGTTAGGAGCAGCTAAGATCCTATACAGAACCCTCAATCTCTCGGGCCTCTGCTAGAGAACCCAAGATTGAGGCATACCACCCAGAACGAAAACAATACACTTCAGGTCTCCAGGGGACAACTTTAACACGTCTCTGTTTATGACACTCTTTATTTCAGGGGGATTTTTCTCACTTTACACTCCAGATCAGGGATGTCAAACTCAACTTCATTGAGGTGCACATCAGGGCTGTGGTTGACCTTGGGCACTGGGTGGGCATGGCTGACTGCGTGGATGTGGCCAACTGGGTGGCCATAGCCAGCTTGACGCCACTCCACAAACTACTGGCATTTTTCCTCTTTGCACTGGGTAGACCAGCTCAAAGCCACACTGGCCTAATGTTTCCTCTTCATATTGGATAGACTGGGCCAAAGTGATGTGGGCTGGCCTCTTACATTTTCCAGAACAGCCCCACAGGCCAGATCCAACCACATCTGGCCCACAGGCCTTGTGTTTGACACCTCTGCCCTAGATATATCCACCAGGATTGAGATATTAATCAAGATGACAGAAGATATATGAACAAATTCAGAGCTTGTTTATTGGGAAGTGTTTGCAAAGGCTGGAATCCCACTCCATATGGTAAGGAGGTGGGAGACATTTTCCATTATTTTTAACTTGACACTGGATAGCGTGACCTGCAGACAATTTTTATATGACCCGCAAAGCTAGGTTCTTGCAATGTGAAAAATAGATTGTTATTGTAAAAACAGAGAATAATATATAAATCTGACTTAATATTCCAGTAAACTATCTTGTTTCATCTGAAGGCTAAATATGTCATTCCTATGGCCTTATATTTTACAAGAATATTTATGTTATATATCGCAAGGATCTAAAGAGAGTCATAGCCTCTTCTGCTTGTACTTCTGTATATTTTCCAGGACCCTGTACTAGACAAGCTGTCTTTTAGGTTTCTAAGCCACGCCTGTCTTCTTTCCTTAACAAGAGCACTGGTGTTGCAGTGATTAGAAAGCACTATTGCAGACTC